GAGCCAACCCAATTCAAGATGGCGACCACAGCCTTCTGATTTAAAAAAAACAACAAAAAAAAACATTAATTGCGTAATTTAATCAGTTTTGCAAATATTATAATACATTTTGGTCTGGTTGTAGCTGAGAGGCTTTCCTAACAAACTCCAGGTATGTTTTGTTGACAAGCTCAGTCTTTTCCTGATTGTTCAGTCTCTACTGAAAACTTAACCTCTTGACCTATCCATGTATCAGACTGAACAAATGGGGTGAAAAGAGAAAAGCCACCTACACTGCTGTCTCAAAAATTAACTTCTGAGTGATTCTCTTGCTCCAGGAGAGCTTAGATTATAAAGGGATATCAGTCTGTTTCGCCCTCTTCTCCGTGGTGTGTGCCATCATCATTAGCAGTCTTCTGCACAAAAGCTAATTAGCTTTCTCATCTCTGTCTTCCTTCTCCGTCCTGACTCAACTCAGATAATCCCAGCCAGTTACAAATAAACCAGCTTGCTGGCTTCCATAGGTACTGTATGTGCATTTACGTGTGTTTAGCATATCACGGGGCCCTGAATGATGGCAGTTTCTGTACTATAAACAAATACCCCCGAGTGACACTTGAAGGATTTTTATTGTCAAGCCACTTGTTAGAAGATGGCACGGTGCCTGTCCTAATGACTCCAGACTGCCAGGCAGAGGCACGTCGCAAAGACATGAATTTGCAAAAAGGCCTGCCAAAATGCAATAGCTTCATTATATCACAGGTCCCAGATGTGTGTTAAATTCTCCATGTCTCCAAATGTTCTTTGTCATCCAGTGGCGTGCTGTGTAATCAGTCTGGCATAAGTATTTCTGCTTTTCTTTTCTTCTATTGAGAAAAAGTCCTATTCCCAAAGGGTGTATTCACATAAATTTATCTCTTGACAGGTCCCTCAAAGATATACAACAATCCCTGAATTTTAATTCTGTCAGTAACAAAACAACAGAACCTGGATTTGAATCTAATCTCTTTGTTTTTTCAGTGGTTGAGAGGAAAGGAGCTTACATGCCTCTGTTCAATGGAGACTCGTACCTTGAGCTGAAGGGGCTTCATCTCTACGGCCATGATCTGCGGTAAGTCCCACATCTTTGAGTGAAATCTACAGAGGGAGGCTTTAGAGACATTGCTGAACACTAAATATGATGTCGTTTTCATAGATTGGGCTTATTATGTGCCTAAAGTCTAGAAGTGTAGTGCTTTTGCTGGAGTTTTAGACGTCTTATGTAAAATTTGTGCCACAAACGTTCACTCAAAATAGTCACAGAGTCAACGCAGGCATCTCAGCCCATCTGAATTTTGTCGTTTATGTCGCCTACCTATCAAGAACATTGAGATGTATTTTGACATCTGATAGAATATGTTTAAAGCAAATGTTCAGGTCGAAAAACCACAGCAAAAGTAAAAAAAATAATTAAGAAACTGGTCTAAATATGCCAATATTCATTTCTAAAATGTACTCCAGTAAGTTAAAGCATAAATGTGGTGCCGGCTGCCGAGGCGGGTACGCTGTAGAACATATGTGTCAAACTCAAGGCCCAGGGGCCAAATGTGGCCCTCGTTGACATCTTAGATGATATGTGAAACGTACAATACTTCTATCTCTTGAATTTTTTCAGTAATCTTTGATTATGCTGTCGAAAGCACAACAGAGAACATGAAATGAGACCAATCAAACTCTTGTTGAGGAACCTGTGACCAAGAAAAGATGTTTGGTATCTGATTTGAGTTGATGTATCTTCTGAAATTGGCCCTTAGTTTGAAAAAGGTGTTAATTTTGGCCCCCATTTGTAAGTGAGTTTGACACCCCTGCTAGATGGAGGTGGACAACAAAATAATGGGCATAGTTTTGCAAACCATCTACAAGACAGTAGGCCAACTGGCATTTCAAAATGTGGCCTCGTTACTTGCTGGTTACGAACACTTTGAATTCATCCCCCCATCCATTTTCTTTACTCACCATTTCCTTTCTGGGTTGTGTGGGGGCTGGTGCCTATCTACAGCCTTCGTTGTGCGGGAAGCGGGATACGCCTTGGACTAGTCGTAAGTCCATCAGAGGCCATATAGAGATAAACGGGACAATCGGCCATCCACACTCCTCCACAGCGCCACCGTGCTGCCACTCAGAATTCAGTGAAAGTGACATGGATTTTTTTTCTTGCAATTTTCCCTCATTTTTGAGTGGTCACCTAGTGTTCAACAGTCACCTTTATCAAGTTCTAACATGTTAAATGTAAATTTACATATAAAGAGATAGAGCAAGACATTGTGTGTCATTTGATAAATATTGAGTATGGTTGTTAATCGGTAAATTAAGTTTGTTCACTTCTTTTTTTGTGTGTGTGTGCTTTATCTGCAGTCAGAAAATCAGCATGACGGTGGTTCTCATGGCCAATGATTCCAACGGTTTGATCTTCTACAACGGCCAAAAATTGGATGGAAAGGGAGATTTTATCTCTCTGTCTTTGAATAACAGGATATTGGAGTTTCGCTACGACCTGGGAAAGGGACCGGCTACCATCAGGTTCATTTCTTTTTGGAGTTCAGATGATTTACAGTCAAAAAGGATATACGAAACACACCAACAGTGGTATTGTAATTAGCATATTTTCCCTAAAATATAGCTGTATGTGTGTTTGTGATTCAGGAGTAAGGAACCTATCCAGCTGAAGGTGTGGAACACCGTCAATCTGGAACGCTCGCTCCGCAAAGGAGAGATCATGGTTAACAAGAAGGACCCTGTTCGAGGAGAATCCCCTGTAAGTAACGGCAAGCTAACAAGCTCCTGGCAATGGTTGTCCTGCTTTCAGCATGCAGAACCATTGGGCTTATGCTTAGCCTTGCTTCTGCCAGTGTATACTCATATGTGTGCTTATATCCCATCATTGCTACAACCATCATAATGGTACTCCCAAGTTTCTGCTTTAGATGCAGATATGTTCCTCCGTGACAGAGGTTTTCCACCCGGATTCACATCATACGGTTTCACAGGCTTGTTTTAATGAAAATATGTCACTCTCTCCACATATCTGTAAAGGCAGAAGAGAGCACATCAGATATAGAGGGTCAGTTTGACAAGCTGTCTCAGTTTTGTAATCCACCTCTTTTAAACTCTCAGCCTTTCAGTTCGTTCACTTCCTAAAGATAAAACATACCTCTGCAGCAGTGGCTTGACAATTGCCAGCAGATAAGGGAGATGCAAGCAACAAAAAGTGTGTACAGTAGTCCCTCGCTACTTCGCGGTTCGTTTATCGCGGATTCTCTCTATCGCGGTTTTTCAAAATAAGATTGGACATGACACACAAATGGCTGATTGATGGATGAGCCGCGCGATCGGCATGGGATTTTTATTTAAAATAAGTTATTTTAAATTATTTAGCACCTGCTGCACATTTGTGCAGCCCTTATTGTTGCAGGATAAACTTCCTGCAGAGTGGAGAAGTGGGCGTGGCCAAGAGCGCTTGCAGGTGGCAATGAGCAGAGGAAGCAGGGAGCTGAAATAGTAACATTATGTGCTCTTTTAGAGCGTATAGAGTTTAGAAACATTGCTCAGAATATTGCAAGAGTGTGGGAAGGGTTTAAAACACCTTAATAAATGTATATATATATAAATAATAAAATAAATTACTACTTGTACTGCTATTCCTACATCACGGTTTTTCACTTATCGTGGGTCTTCAGGATACGGATCCCCCGCGATAAACGAGGGACTACTGTAATGACATTTTTAATCCAGCACTTAAACCAATACAGCAAGTACAAGATTCCAAATGAGGATAATGTAATGGTTTTATAAGTCTGCAAGTCTTTTAATTGTATTAAATTGTGTTTGTGAACAAGCAGACAGTCAACTCCATCATGTTCTGCAGTTAAAAAGACACAACAGTAACCCCCTCATGTAATTATATTTTACTCCAGCAACAGAGGCAGAAAATCTTATTAAAAGAAGGAAGTAAAGAGAAAGCAGTAAGGATGTGTTGAAGGAGGGTAGGGGGGGAACGAGGGATGAGTTGAGCCTAGTTATGAAGCTCAGTACAGAGACCCTATAGAGCGTGGCTCTCAGTTCCTTCTCTCCCACTTCAGCTTTAAGAACCGAGGGGGGTGCGGGGGGGTTACAGTATGTCTTCCTCAGAGAAACCCACTGGAATCATATAGATACAGTTGGCATTTCTGGGAATAATCATCATATCAAAGGTGCTCAGGCTGCCAGAGTAATGAGAAGCAAACTTTCAAAGATACAGATAGACGAAATAGAAATCTACTTCGCGTTTTATTTAACGGCAGCAATCGGTAAACGAGCTTGGGTTAAGTGGCACTATTCACAGCCTCACCCGTGATGTTTTTTTCTTCTTTTCATCTGCTCCTGATGGCACCATCTGCATCGTGCACGGCTTTCTTAAGACACAGTCGTCTCTGTATTCACTCCTGCACAGCTGTTTGTATGTGGATTGTATATATATATAACAAAATGCTTCCCTCACATTTCTTTTATTTTTATTTATTTGCTACTGCACAGTTATTTTTAATGCTCTTACAGATATGCAAACGTGTGCTGATGAGATAATTGGTGATTATATGCGTTTTGTGAGCGTTTGCGCTTGCTCTGCATGCCTTTATGTGCACAAACACTTACTAGTCTTTCCCTAATAACTCTCTTCCTCCTTATTTTCTTTCCTTCTCTATGATGTGCTGTCTGGAAATAAGAAATCACGCAAGGTAATGAGACGAATACCAGCCACACTTTAGCTCGTGTTTCATTTGAGTTGTTCACCACGTCCTCACACACACCTCCATCTCTCCATGCAACAACACAGAAGAATAAACCTCCCTCTGCAGATTAACAGGCAGCATTCGACGTGCCAGAGCTGTGGAGTAAAACAAATAAAGAAATTGCCATTTCATAAGCTCATATTTGACCACAGCACCAAAGAGATGCTCCTAAAGAGCATGGTTTGGCTTTCACCTCGGTCCATCTGCTGTGGGGGAGGGAGCGGGTGGGAAGGTGGGAAGGAAAAAGAAGCAGTGATCCTTGAGATGGCCATTGTTTCAGACAACGACACATCTTCATTAGTCCAGTGTGGGCGGGGATATCGCGCCGGTACTGCGTGACTGTCAGAAAGTGAGAGCGCGGAGGATACGTACAGCGGGAGGTGGCGAGGTGCTAAAGCAAGCCAGGCTGTTCTTTCATCTGTCATCTGCTCCCACTTCTGCTGCGCATGGGAACGATCCTCCATAGATCATGAAGTTTCTTACTCACTTTGACCCACTCACTCACCCGTAACGACAACAAAACTCGCCGTACTCCAAGTCCTGCTGCACTTCATCAGCAGCTGCACATTTTCACTCGTTTCAATAAAACTGAACTCGTTATCATTTCATTGCATGAAAGCTCACTTAGAAAAATAAAAGGGATTTTACGTTACGACTGCACAAACTTCAACATACAAACTTAGAACACGATAGGCTTTTAAACTATAACTTCACTTCTGAAAACGATGGGATGTTGTTTAAAATGTAAAATGAATGCTGCAGTTTGCAAACCTCATAAACTCATATTTTATTCACAACAGAGCAAAGTAAACAATTGTTGAAATTAAAAGAATGTTATTTTTAAAGGAAAAATAAGGTTATTTTGTATTTTATGGCAGCAACACATATCAAAAAAGCTAAAACTGAGGCAACAAAGGGATGTACCGTATTTTCCGCTGTGCACGTCGCACCGCACTATAAGTCGCATCAGTCCAAATATGTCTAATAAAGTGGAAAAATGTATAAATATGTCACTTGGCCGTATAAATCACATCTATTATGCATCACTGCTGATGCGTCACTTTTGTTACTCGCTGACAACCCGTAGATGTGGGATGATGTTGTGGCAAAAATCGCTTGGCTGCCAAATGCCGGCTGCGGGAGTGTGCACGGGAGGACTTTAACAAGAATTCAACAAGATTAACACTTAAAAACTATTATTTATTTGCTCTAAATATAGTAAAGGTGTGTCTCAGTCTAACTTTTGCTTAATAAATACACTCTGATTCAGTTGCTCCAGGCAGATGATGGTGGCAGTTTATGGCAAGCCAATTGTGTCATTAATAGCCACTTTTACTTATTACATGATACAACGGCATGTCTTACTACTCAACTGCCATCTAGTGGCTGAAAATGGTAGTGTTTAAAATTTTCAGTCAGAATGAATGAAAACAGTAATTTCAGCCAAAAATTGGTTTATAAATATGGAAAAAATCCATAAATACGTCACTTCGGCCTATAAGTCGCATGGCATGCAAATTATGCAAAAAAGTCACGACTTATATGGCGAAAAATACGATGGTGGGTGATACAGATAGGAAACGGAGGAGCATTTTAGAAGTCATTAGGTCAGCTGGTCGCGGGCCGAGAGGACTGAGTGTAAGAGCATTTTAGAGAGTCTGAATGTTTCAGATGTAAAGATGGACAGAGATTCACCAGTCTGCCAACAACTACATTTAAAAATAGTGGACAATTTTTATTTAAAATAATGTTCCTCAACTAATAATTGGGAAGACTTTGAATACCCCATCGTCTATAGTTCATAATGTCATAAAAAGATTTTAACCATCTGAAGAAATCTGAACTCAAAGGACGAGGCTGAACGTCAATATTTGATGCTCGTGATTTCAGAATCAGGTCTGCTTCTGTTCTGGCCGTCACTCCATGGGCTCAGAAACACTTCCACAAACACAGTTCACCATGTTCACCAATGCTGCTTAAAGCTCTATCATGCAAAGAAGAAGCCATATGTGAACACCTTCCAGATACAATGCAATGCGCAGCTAAAATAAACCGAGTCTAAGTGGAAAATCTTCTGTGTTCAAAGAATCAGCATTTAAATTTATTTTTGGAAACTGTGGACACCATGTCCTTTGAACTAAAGAGGTGAGGGGCCACACATGCTGTAATCAGCACATTGTATAATAGTCAGCCTCTCTGATGGTATAGGGGTGTGTCAGTACTCCTGATATAAGCAGCTTACACATGCGGAAAGGCACCTCCAATGCTGAACTGTATATACAGGTTTTAGAACAAAATGTGCTCCCTCTTAGTGACTGTTAAGCATCTAGAATCCTTCAGACTAGAATGGGACACTATCAGTTAACTATAATTATACATTTTATAATATAAGTCAAACATTCTGGTCTTCTCAGTTCCTAGATGTTTATAGACCATCGTTAAAACTGTGAAACATTCCCTCCTTTTGAGAAGAGTGGTAAACATGGCCCTGTCTCAACTTTGAGATGTGCTGCTGCCATAAAATTCAAATTCACCTTATTCACTAAAAAGTTTCTTAGGTCAAGCATTTAATGTGTTTACTATGTTCCACTGTAATAAAATATGAGTGTATAAGATTTGCTTATGACTGCATTTTGTTTTTATTTACATTTTACATAACGTTTCAACTTTTCAGGACTGGGGTTGCCCATGAAACTCACAGGAGCAGTTTCTGGATGGATCAGTGAGTCTGCCTGCAGGGCGACAAAGCTGCAACTTTTCAGCCCGAGGCAGGCGACTCTGCCGCTCGTATGGTGGCATGTTTTGGCAAAGCCAAAGAGCTATCAGCCACAACTGGATCCAGTGGTTTTAGCCAAGGTCCCTGCTTTTATCTCTCCTGGAAATGGCTTAAGATGCTCCAACACGCAGACATCTGTCAAACTCCAGTGACTCCTGCTCTCCAAATCCCACCCTAAATAAAAACCCGAACCGATGCCAGCCTGCCTGTTTATTTGTCCCCTTCCATCATTTGTTTTCCAGCAATTAACTCTATTTTACCCTTCTGGCATTTGCTGCTCTACATAAAATAAAGATCATTAATTTCCTTCCTTCAGAAGTGGACAGGCTCTTCGCGGGAGCGTCACCTCTGCTAATGCAAAGCAATCATCCCAAATGTTTGGTGGAAAGAATCAAATTTCATAGCCATCGGTCGCGCAAATGAACGGCAATTAATTTGTCTCCGCACTCATCTGTTGGAAAGGTCGCTGCTTATAATCAGCTATTCATTAGAGAAGTCTGTAAAAGAACTATATAGCTCAAGTGTAGCCCGCTCTTGATTTTCTTTTGTGGTCTAATTTTACGTCACGGGGTGATTGATCGCTCTCTCTGGGAGACAGAAAAATCAGTTATTTTGTAATGCATCAAGTGAATTAGCATTGATTGCAAGTGCAGTTAACATTTTCCTGGAGATAAATGCTTTTCAGGGAATCTTAAGTGAAAGGCTGAAACTTTTATTTGGCTACTTGGACACAAATTTGTTTTATTACCTATTGTTTAAATAAATCATTCGTCCCTGGATAGAAAGCTCCTCGCTGGGTTTGGAAATAACTTAAAGGAACTTTTTTTTAAAGATACACATGAAGCTTCTTTATTTTTTTGTGGCTCATTCAATGAAACTTTTTGTCTTTTGTCTCATCAGAACAAACACACAGATCTCAATCTGAAAGAGTCGCTCTTTGTTGGCGGAGCTCCTGATTACAGCAAACTGGCGAGAGTTGCTGCTCTCACAGAGGGATTCAAGGGAACGATCCAGAAGGTAATAAGGTCCAGAAGACGCTATTTATCACCCACAGCTGATGGAGAAGGTGGAGTGTTCATGTTTTGTGTGTGCTTGACTGTGTTTTATTCATTTCTCTGTACTGTTAGCAAAATATCTCGTGAATCTGAATGAAACTTTCAGATAGTAATCGTTGGATTTATATCTACAACCTGATGCATGCTCAATAATCCAGGTAGAAAAATCTAAAAAATCAGAGGACCAGATTTAACTTTTTTAGATATATCTACAACTGATCAACTTTTGGAGTCAGCTCGATTCAATATGGCCACCACAGCAAAGCAATCTTAGCCAACACAAAAATGGCTGCATCTCGGTCAAGGTCACAGATACTGAACAACTTTGGTGTGGTAGTAGCTGAGACTGAGCTCCAGATTATACTCTGAATGCTAATTGATCACCTGAGATCTTTCCGTAAAACCTTGCCAATAACTAACTATAGTTAGTTAATGGTCAAATCTAGTTATAACAAGAATTCGAGTTAAATATTGGTGTGCTTGTAGCAGCGATTGAGTCCTAACTCATAAGACTGAACAATAGTATAATTAAACGTTTTCCACCTAACCCAGTTTGTCTGTTAGCAAAATATTTCATACACAGCTGGACAGAATTCAATAAAAGTCTCAGAAAGTAATTATTGCTTGAACGTCTTACCACTAATTAACTTTTGTAATGAGAGTTGTTAGGAGAGATCATGTCTCTACAGTTTCAGCTTCTCCCCACTGGCTCCCTGTCAAATTCAGAATATAATTTAAAATCATAGTCCTAACTTACAAAGCTCTCAACAACCTAGCTCCATCTTATATTACAGATCTTATTGTTCCATGTTTTCCTAACAGAGCACTTCGCTCTTAGACTGCAGGGTTACTTGTGGTTCCTAGAGTTTCCAAAAGCAGAATGGGAGGAAGATCTTCCAGTTGTCAGGCTCCTCTCTTGTAGAACCAACTTCCAGTTTGTGTCCTTGAGGCTGACACATTTTTAAGTTTTAAGACTTTCCTTTTTGATAAATCCTATAGTTACAGTAGGGTTGGCTTGTTATGCTGCTATAGGCTTAGACTACTGGAGGACAAATTGACCTCATTTCCTTAAATGATTTGCGAAAACTGAATATTTTTCATTTGATACTATTTATATCTTAACATGTGATTCTTGACCTGCCATTGTGTATCTGTTCCTACCAAACCCAGCTGGTCGAAGCAGATGGTCGCTTGTCCTGAGACTTGTTCTGCTATAGGTTTCGTCCTCATGAGGGAGTTTTTCATTCCACTTCATGCTTGCTCAAGATGAGAGTCTGTGATGAAGTTAAACTCCAAGCAGTCTGCTCCTCAGATAAATAATGATATTAACTTATTTTTATGTATATGAATGTTTCTGTTCAGTGCCCTGAGATGACTTCTGTTGTGACTTGGCGTTATATAAATTAACTGATTGAATTTAATTTAATTGATAGTCAACCCAATTCAAGTTAAATGACTCAAACTTCTACTATACCTTGGTGAATTTGACAGACATTGAGCTTAAATTTGGTGTGGTAGTAGCTGACAGTCATTCACAACACACAACAGATCAGACAAGATATTGCACTAAAGTGTGCATAAAGTCATTGAATCTGCATAAGATGATCTTGGACATGAAAGGCGATGGGTGATGTGCATGTCTTCATTGAGTTCTAGGGCTTCATTTATAACCGACTGCTTTAATATCAGTTCAGTTCGTCAGTCCTGTGTTATTTTAATGACTTTGAGCTCTTGAGCCATGCAGCGTTCTATTGGAGTCAGATGATCTTGGTAATTTTCCATTATAAGCTCACACTGTGATGAGAAGTAGCTCTGCTCATTTGGATTAACTCGCACTAATTTTTTTTTTCTGCATATTTTTTGAAGTGCCTCCATTTTGCTTTTTTTTTTTTTCTCAGATCTCTTCCCTGACGCTTTTGCATTTTTTCCCCCCCCCCCCCCCCCTTCTCTGCTTTTTAGCAAACAGCTCATCCCTGAGTGCCTAAAATAACTCAGTGGAACAAAGGCTGGATGTTAGTGTTTGCACAAACTTGTCAATAGTTCTTGTCTGCAAACTTTCCCTTGACAGTTCCGAGGCAGCCAAAGCTAAATGTGGCATTTGTCGTGCTTGGCCTCCAGGGACTAGTTAATTATGTGGAAGACAGTATGTGTTCATGCTTTGATGTAATGTTTAATTTGCGTGTTGCATCAGCACCTATTGTCTGGGGAACTTTTGAGCGTGTTGACAGTGTGGATTTTATCTTTAAAGGACCGCGTTCATCTAAATCTACTGCTTCACTCTGCGTTCGATAATTAGGTTTAATGACCCTTCAGCAGAAAACTCAATGCTCTTTAACTGGATGCTTTCTTTTGGGTATAAGTCAAAAGTTTTAACGAATGATAAATTTAATCCGATTCTTTTTACGCTGAGACGGACAAACTGAAGAAAAATGTATTTTGTGAAGCATTTTTTCCAAATTTGTTTATAAAACTGAGGGGATTTTTTTTATCTTTTAGCTCGTTTTGTTTTCATTTGAGTATATTCTGCCTGGACATGCTGCGCAGCGTACCATATGCTCAAAACATATTTTCTTTATGTGCTTCTTAACCTCCTTCTAACTCTGCGATCCCCTGCAGAGTCTGCCTATGTTAGTCATACGATCGCCCACTGTGTCCCAACATTTTGAACGTTTCCAAGCAGGAGGATGCCTCGTTCTCCTCCAGCAGATGTAACTTCTTCTTTTTTTTTTTTTCTGGAACATCCCATTTGAACTTTTAGAGCAGTTTTGATCACTGAAATATCACAGACTGGTACTTTTATTTACTCTTCACACAAATGTCAGTTTTTGCCGGAGGTATTATTTAAATTTAATTACATGTAAGTAGGAAAAATAAAGTAAAATGGAAAAACAAAGCGCTAAGATGCAATGCAGAGGAGATTTCGTTGCATCACGACTGATTTCTAGTCTCGTCTTAGCATTAGTTTGAAGTTGCGCTTTAGGGACAAAGTTGAAGTCCAATAAAAAAATCCAGCCCGGCCCGAACACATTTTTTCCAAACCCGATAAATTAACTGTTATTAGAGGCCCGAACTCGGAAAAAAAAACAACATTTTTTTTATTAAGTTTTTACAACTTTTGTAAGCAAATCAGTTTGACATTTGTTTATTTGTTTATTTACGGATCCCCATTAGTTTCTACCATAGTAGAGACTATTCTTCCTGGGGTCCACACCACGAACATTACATTTAAATCATGCTTTTACAAACATACAAAAAGACATAATAAAATACCTAAGATAAAAACAAAATCAAAATATAAAAATTCAAATCCACCATCTCAATAACATTTTACAAGCATTACAAATTGACAAAAAACTTTAAAATACACAAGAATTAAAAACGCAGAAATTCACCAATTCCTAATTTAACTATCTTCATTTCTATTATAAATTTATTATTACATCAATTAAATTTTATTTCATTATCTATTATATATTATATCTATTATATTTTTTAGATTTGTCTACCTGGATTATTGAGCATGCATCAGGATATTATCTATTATAGATTTTTTTAAGTTTTTTTTTTTTTTTTAATGAACATCATCAGAAATTAATGTAATTACAGATGGCAGCATGTTCCAGTAAGAAATAGCTCAATACACAGCTGTTCTTCTGAGAGCATTAGTCCTCGGCAGAGGTAATATAAAAGTAACAACAGAGGCGTGTCTAGTATTAAAAGCATGTCTATTGCAGGTGAGTAACAACTGTGAGAAAAGGCTAAACGGTTTGTGTCAAGTCCAGATTTTGTGTAAAGAGAGAAGAAGGCTACATGCTAGTCTGTCACGGACTTTCATCCATGACAGGCACTGATGCATGAAATCGATGTTTGTTCTAAAATGACATCCGAGTGTAAATCTTGCAGCTTTATTCTGAACTACCTGCAGTTTATCCAGATGTTTTTGAAAGCACTTGACCAAACAGCTGAACAATATTGAAGTTGACAAAGCACTAAAGACTATAACTCATTTTCTTATTTCCAGGGACATAAAATGTGCATTACGCCAGATTATAGCAATGTTTCTGCTCATCTTAGTCACAATCTTATTAATTTGTATTGACCGAGAAAGAGTTTTGTCTATTATGACCCCCAGTAGCTTAGCCCCTTCAACTCGATGTGATCATTTTAAAAATGTATTTCAAAGAAAGGAAGATATAAGATTTCTTGTTTATTAACAAGAGTCAGTGGATTATTATAGTTATTATAGTTATTTACGGTCAGCGGATGCGCGCGGCTGATGATCCGGTTGTCCATCAGTAACAACCCGCCCCAAAAACTAAGGTAAACTGGGGATTAATTACATAAAACGCTAACTAAGTCATGGGCAGTGCCTGGAGCTGACAGTGCAACAAACTTATATTGGTTGAGGTGTAGGAATAACCAAGTAAATGGAAAATAATTTTCCCACACAGGCAAAACACTCTCATAAATAAACTAATAGTAGATCGTCCATGAAGGACAACATTTAAGACAGTTAACACAATTTAATCAAGCCATCAGTTATGTCCCACAAACGCTTCATCCCACAACATTTACATATCAACACATGAAATCCCATAAACCCCATAAATGAACAAGTTGATCAAACTTTCAGTCCAACTCTTTGAAGTAAAGTTCGTTTTGAAGGAGGATGATGGAAACGCTCACTCAATCTATGCATTGGCGTGCCGAGAAAAAAAAAAAAAAGATCTCACCAGATTTAAATGTCCATAAGCTTTAGCATGCAGTCCTGTGTAATAAAAAGTAACAATCCACCGCAATCCAAACTCGGGGTGAAGAATAATCCACAGGTAATCCAGGGCAATGGTCTCACGCCAGCTCCTCCTCAGCAGGTGCACACCCAAGGAAAAGAAAAATGCTGTCACTTTTAAAACCGCATCAAGACCCGACCCGGCCCGCCCATCAAGCACAGCATTCGGCTGGGCCGGTTCGAGCTGGAGTTTGGGCCAAAAATATCAGCTCTAATTCCTAAACCAGTATTTCACTGGTCTGCAACTGTTGGAGGCTCATTGGTGTTGAAAAACTGTAAGAAATAAAAAATACAAATAAAATAAAAAAAACCTTAACTGCAGGCTTTTTGATTATTTTTTTTATTATTTTTTATTTTATTTTTTTTACTTTTTGAAGCCGTGCAGCGGTTCCGCACATCCAAATTTTGAAAATCAAGAACTATTTTTATGTGTACGGCTTGCTAAACTATAGGCCATGCAGAGTATTTTTTGTTGCCCACCTCCGCCCACGTTGTACCCGTCTCTTCCTGCAGCATTAAAACACCTACACTCACTGTCTGTGGCTTGTGCGTATTTAATCACTGATTACAGGAGCTGGAGAAAAGAACAAAATGTAGTCTAATAATTATTGTGGTGCAGGTGCACCTCCGGACAACTGACAGCATCATAAACCATTTTTTCCGCAATCACTCACAACAAAATGACGCTGTTCTTATCATTTTTACACTTTTGCGAGTAGGCGAGTCCTAAATGACGCCAAGCACTCAGCCGGTGCCGGCTGGACCCGCTGTGGTGACAGGAAGAGTTTAACGGGTGCAGGACACCTCAGTGACACAGGCGTCAGGAGGAGCCCTGGGAGGAAACCTGTGACACTGAAGGGAACCTCCGCATCACAGCTGAACAGTTTCAAGAGTACTATTTTCCACCAACAAGTACAAACGATGCAAACAGAGTTGTGTTAACATAAACAGATGGCAAATCATAAAAAGTACACCTGTAGCGCTCTAAATTTACAGAAATTATATTGAGAAAGGTTTTTTTAATTTCATGTGAGAGAGATGCGCCTGAAAGACTTAGGACAGCAGAGTAAGATGCTGACATTACACTAGTAGTTCTCAGCTTGTGGTGCTTTGCGACCCGCTATCACCCTTTAATGACAAGTCATGATACTAATGGAACTTTTTCAACTTCTCAAATTAAGTAACGGACTGAAAAGTTGGTGCAGTTTGAGCCTCAGATAGCAGAATAAAATACATCTGTTTGTCCACACAAATAAATAAGTTTCAAGAACAACTAAAAGGATCAGCTAACAATGCTAAAGAGGAAATTAATCAATTAGCTACGTTTATTTAAGAACTAAAGTCTTCACTTCAGTGACTTCAGCCATTTTTAACAGATTCAGCAGTGCTTGTTATGACGGACCTTTAGGGCCACGCTAAGAAAAAAAAATTAAAAGCCATAAAATTACAAGAATAAAGTTGTAATATTATGAGAATAAAGTCGTATGAGACTTCTTTTTTTTTTCATCTCTCGTGTATTTATTATTTTTTTCTTTCACGAGTCAGATCCACGACGCAACCTGTCAATCAATCCAGTAGGCATGTCAGCAAATGGCCACTCCGAAGCTAAATGACTCGCAATATGATCCGAACTCCAACATGACAAAGCAGCGTTTACCATTTTAACTGTAGTAAAATGGAGATTGTTGAGCATCTTGTTAAGTTATACTTTGGTATTGGTTTTACAAATAAGGAGATGGTTAATCCATCAGCACATCAGCATCAGATTATTTCCAGCATCAGGACTTTGGACCTGCTCACAGTAAGTTGGTACGCTCTGATGGGCTGCAGCAGCTCTGCAGGTAAGGAGCATTTAGCTTCGGATTGGGCATTTGCTGACACGCCTACTGGATTGATTGACAGGTCGCGTTGTAGATCCAACTCGTGAACGTGGAAAAATAAATAAACGAGAGCTGTGAATAAAAAAAAGTCTCGTGCAACTTTACTCTCGTAATATTAAGACTTTATTCAACTTTATTCTCATAATTGTATGGCTTTTAATTTTGTTTTTCTTAGCGTGGCCCACCCACTGAATACAGTGTCATTAAAACTATTCAGTCGTTAAGATTAATGTAACAAACAGAATATATATATAACTTTTGTCGATCTTGGGTAAAGGCCCGTGATGCACTGAAAATGGTTCCTCTCCCTGTTTTGGGTTGTTTTCCACCAGATGAGAATCCCTGCTTTAAATCATTGATGTTTGAGACTTTATTTCTACTTCTATATCATTTCCCTGAAATCAATCTTTGTAGTATTTAGTAATGAGTAAGTAACCAAACAAATAAATAAACTGAGTTTTAAAGTCGACTCTTCCAGAAGCTTCAAAGAATAACTTCTCAAGTTACTGATTTTTGAGATGACAGTTGTGGTGCTCCCCTAAACACACCAATGAGCTGTTTTTGCTCAATCAGCCGTGAGGAAAAGAACCTTTCAGTTTTACTGCATAAACTTTTTCTTTTTTCTTTACGAGATCAACAAAATTTATATTATTCACAAAATCTGCCCCGTCTCTGTGCATTTCAGATCATGTTGATGAGTACGCCCATCCTCAGGGAGGAGAACGCCCTGAACTCCAGCAACGTAGCCATGTTCCAGGGCCACCCGTGTTTTCGTGAACCCTGCCAGAACGGCGGGCGCTGCAACCCTCAGCTGGAGCGCTACGAGTGTTCCTGTCCAACTGGCTTCTCAGGGGAAAACTGTCAGAACAGTGAGTATTGTTATCCTCCCATCTGCAGTCATAATGCATATCCGTTTATGCTGCAAAACAATAAAACATGAGGATCTCTGAGCTTTAAAACCCGTCCTTTCTCAGTTTTGAAGGGATATTTTCCGTAAGCGAGTGGCTAACTATAATTGCTGGATTGAGACGACCTAATCGTGTCATTGTAACAACACAAATTGTTTGACTTCCTCATCCAGGATTGTCTGGTTTTGCTTTAAAAAGATTCTTAGATTGTTGCCTCCTTGTCCTTTTCCAGCACAGTCTATGTACCACAGTTCATGCACCACAGCTTGATCTTGGCTCGCCTTTATGGAAGGTAAAATACGAGCCTCGGTGCTTAAGTCCCGTTCTGCTGTTGTGTTCTTTCCCTGTAAGCTCAAAGCAGCATTATACATGACGTCTCTTTTATGTCAGCGCTGTAATTTATTGATATCAAAGCAACGCAAGTGTTGGAAAAATGATTAAACATGTCGGCTGAATATTCATGAAGGGGTTGCACGCCACTTTCATCATCTTCCTGTGACCGCGCGAGACGTGAGCTCGCTCTGTCCCGACCTGTCCCGCGCACTCGTCAGTGCTTTCGCCATTAACCTTGTGCGTGTGGTCGGCCATCCCTTTCACGTTAATTAAAACGCAGCCGCCCCTGCCCCGTCGCCTGCAGCCCTGATAACTGAACCCTTGCTCTTATTGATTGGAGTGATCTCACGCTGCACCCCGCTCCCTCCTCCACAGCCATCCATGAGAAGTCCGCCGGAGACACCGAGGCCATAGCCTTTGACGGGCGGACTTTCATCGAGTACCACAACGCTGTCACGAGGAGGTAAGGAGGAGGACGAGTCGTCATCTTTTCATCTTCATCGTAATACCTATTAGCCAAATAACCACTCTTATGTATCTCCTCCCTTGGTGAGGCGTGATAACAGTGTGGATGATATCATCAGTGGTAGGGCTTCGGGGAGAGCTGAGTGCTCTGCTAATAGCTCACCCTCGCCTTCTATGGCAGTTCTGCTTTGCTTTTGACAAGATTTCACTAATTAACTCGACAGTTAGCCATCACAGCCTTGCCCTGAGCACATTCTATTCATTTTGTCTACTAATACTGGACACACACACGATTAAACCTCTTATCCTGTTTTAATATTTGGATGACGAAGTGAAGTGCAGGGATTTGTCAGCTGCATATGTTAACCCCCAGGAAAGGCGCACACAAAAAAAATGATGTAATTTTAAAATGTTTTCGCTACAAAACAAAAACAACCTGAAGAAACGCTCTCCCTATAGGCAGCAAATGAGCCGTTTTTGTTTTTTGCTTTACTTTTCCATCCATCTGCAAGGTTGGCAAGTGTGCGCCTCCAGGTTTGCATAAACAAAAAGATGTTTACGTGAAGAACCTGAAAAGGCATCCAGCATATGGTTCTGCGTCTCACGGCTCTTCACACAAACACCGCGAGGTGTGAAAACTGGGCCACAGCCTGCAGAGTGCCGCGCTCCCGACTCGCAGCCGCTTCGAAACAACTGGCGGGGGAATTCTGTCACGTGTGTGTCTGAATGTGTCTTTGCTGTCCGTCTGTGATGTCAGCGTTCCTCGTCTCGTCCACTCCTGTCTTTGTCTCATGTAAATGTCCTTCACTGTCTCTCCTTTTCACTCAAGCCAACTGACCAATGAGATCCCAGAGTAAGTAGACTTAAATAACTGGGTGTTTGCCCAGTTTCAAATCATGCCCAACTAACAATAATTCATGTCTTTATAATTAACCCAAATGAGATTAAAGTACATTCAGTTTCCAGACTTATTTTCTCACAGAAATCATGTTTTTTGTTGGTAAAAGTAGTTTACATGCAAGCTCCATATGTCTAATTTACTTTGACAAATTTGATTCTTTTGGATACATTCTCAGTATCATCTGGTCTTTTTTTATTTCAATGCAAAGGGAAGCATGAATATTTGCATGATAAGCATTGTTCTCAGTCAGAGAAAATGAATGGCTGTACCAAGAATGTGCAATATTACATGCATGGCTGGAACTCGTTTATAAACTAAATGAATTGCCATGCACTTTATGCTAAATGGCATTAGGGTTTTTTTTGTGAGAAATGAATGAGACCCCTTGAAAACTGCAAAAGGATTTTCTAAATACTCCTTAACCTACTTTCTGGTGCCAGTGGAGTTTCTGCTTGGAGAAAAACCTTCAGTCATGACCAGGGGTTTGCAACCTGCGGTTCTTCGGTCCCTCTGCAGCATCTCTTTCAAGCTTTGACCAAAACTGACATAAAACTGAATTTTATTGGTTGTTATAATAACTAAAAGGGCAAGTTTTAACAGTTTTCCTGTAATTTATTTGGCAAATATATGAATACAAGAAACATTACAAGGGGTATAACATATTCACTTTATGTTGTATTTCTTCAAAGTAGGATACGTAATTTGTCTACAATTTTTAAAAAAAATCACATAATAATGCATAGTTTATTGTTTTAGTTTTTAGAAACTGGGCAAAAACTATATTACTTTTTCCTTCTTTACAAGAATCTCGTCTTTTATTTTGTCTTAGAGTGTAAAAATGTCAATAAATGTTCAAAATCATTAGATATTTTTAGTTTTTTAAAATCAACCCTACTGTCCAGAAAAGCGCCCTCCAACAAACGTGTGGTCCGTGGGCCACCAGTTGAGAATTGTAGCAGGTATTGTGGCTCCGGACACGTTTAATTTAGTGAACAAAGGGGCAGAAATGGCTCTTTTGATCGTAAAGGTTGCAGACCCCTGGTCATGACTTACCCGTAGTTACTCTCAGTTATGCAGGGGAAAAGGTGGGGTGGCTCCTTCCTGCTCGTTAGCTTGGTAAGTAACGTTTATCTTTAAAAAATAAAAGTTTCACAAACTGGTAAAGCAGAAGTCAGCTCAAATTGGGCAGACTCGATTTGGCCCAGAGTTTCTGTCATTTCATTTTTGCCGGATCTTTGACCGTAATTTTAAATAATTACAGAGCCGGCTGTTCTGGATGGCTGTGACATGTTAATCACAGATTTATCTCCCTTTGTAGATTAGGCCTCCAATTGAGATCTCACCACAGTGGGCAGCCATGGGCATCAATCTCACTTAGCAGGAGGGACAGTAGTCCTTGGAGCCAGGCTGTCAAAAGTTTAATAGATGTCGCAGCCACTAAGAGCCACAATGGACGGGAATCTAGGCAAACCTTGTTGCAGGACCGATCAATTGGTCATGATTTGATTTTTGTAACGATAATGAATACATTTCTTCAGAGGCCATTAAGTGCCTTAAGGGGCCATAACGCCAAGTGCTCACCTTGAGGTAACGTTTCAGTTACACTTTAGCGGGGGTGTCTGATCACTCCTCTTTCACCTCGCCACCCGTATCACGAAGCTCAGGTCGATTCTCTCAAGCCCCATTATTTCAGTGACAAATCGTATCTGGCTATGACTCCCATCTGATACTGTGCTTGACCCCATTTTTTTGACAATTGCCCAATTTTTCTCATCCACTGCTTTCATCTCCAGACAGAAGGTAATTGCAGCGCTATAGCATGGAGCGCCATAAATATAAAAGAGCTGTTCAATAATTGGACGCCGACTTAAAGCAGGATCTGTTCTGGTGAGGACACTGATCATGAATGTACTTAATCTTAATGCTCACTTTTTTTTTTAAATGCTTTTTATTTAAGTTGAGGTGTTATCAAAGTTAAGATACACACTTCTATGATCACACAGCAGTTGTTATCGACTCTTGACATGGTCGATGTTGGAGTGGAGCAAACAAGCTGTGCATTTTGCAACTACAGGTCTAAGATGGACCTCTGTGAGCCACATAGAGGGCTCACAACATTCTCCCTACCTCCCTCCTTTCCCCTTTTATTCCTTATGACCTGTTTGCGCTTACACTGCATGCCGATGACTTTCTCCCCTGCTACCTTAAGTCCCGAGTCTCTGGAGAACCCGTCTGACCAGAGGTGAGTCTCTCAAAGCTTTCAAACTTTGCTGCAGCCTGCTTGCATCTCACGTTGTTGCTACCGCCTGCTCGCTCCCATTTCCTTCTCTCTGCACAACTACTCCATGATCTCTAACAGTGTTATAAGCCCCTGTGTAGATCATTTATAAACCCGACTTTGAAAAAGGTCAGGACATTGTGTAAAATGTAAATAAAAAATGGAATACCGTGATTTGAAAGGCTCACATTTTATTCACAATGGAACATAGTAAACTTATCAAATGTTGAAACTAAGAAATTGTACTATTTTTGAAAATAAGGTCATTTTGAGTTTATTGGCAGCAACACATCTCAAAAAGTTGGGCCAGTGGCAACAAAAGACCGTAGAAGAAAGTGATGCGCACAAGAAACTGCTGGAAGAGGCTTTTGAAACAAGTTAGCTTGTTTGACGGGGCTTAATTTGAGCCGGATCATGATGGAACAGGATCTGAGAACTCTCTTATTTTGACAGGGTGTGTTCTGGTAACCGTTTGCTTGGATCCAGTAACTCTCGGGCTCACCATTAATAAAGTTATGAACAAATTTGACTGCCTTGAATGAATAAAACCTATATTGGGCATGTAATCTGAAAATGATTACATAAACACTAATTTTAAACATAACAGCCACATACGAGCTTCTTAATATCACATAAGAGCTGCCCCTTCAAGTAAGCATTTCCACTTATACCCTTAAAAAAATCTCCACCCCTAAAAGTTCAGTTATGGGCAATTTAATTAAAAACACAAAAATACAATTAAACAGCACAACTAATTTGCAAATCAGTTTTACAGTTTAAGTGGGTCATTAATATTTTTTTTATTATTTATTAAAAAAATATGAGAAAAGTGTTTGATGGGTAATCATGTGACGTATGTCCCGTATCAAACCAACAGCGTCAGTTTGTCAAAATAAAAGTCTTCTCATTGTACAACTAAACAACCAAGAATTGAAGCACATGAAGACGGTGGCAATGGAGATGGTACTCAACGTGGCAGTTAGGAAGTTGAGAGAAGCAGAGTGTGCTCTATTCACACCAGGAGAAAGACGTATAGATATTTAACTACAGTTAAAATACATCAGAATGCAGGAAATAGCATCTACTTTATTCAAAATTTTCTGGGGGAGGACCCTCAGACCCCCCACCCCCCGGGCTATTTGCATTCCAGCATTGTTTGGTTTACAAATTAAGTACTGGACAACAGGTCAATAAGGGTGCATTCACACCAGCCCTGTTTAGTCCACTTGAATCAAACTCGAGTCCGTTTGCCTAGAAAGTCCAGTTCGTTTGGGGAAGTGTGAATGTGCAATCAAAAACTGATCTGGACCAAAAAAGTGAACTCTGGTCCACCTAGATACCTTGGGCTCGGTTCAGTTGAAATGAACTTTAGCGCGGTTCGAATGCACTGTGAATGCAAGCGGACCGGAGACTGCACCAAAAGCAGGAAGTGGACTACAGCGCAGGGCATTCTGGGTAAATACAACCAAAACAAATGCGCATTTCTCTTACCTCGTACGAAGTCGTCTCAGCCGCCTTCTCCATTGTCTTCTGCTCATCTTCTGCTCATGAGTCCATTGTTGAAAAATGTTTGTTTGGCACATGTGCCACAGACAAAACAGAAATCTTAAAACCGCTCAAATCTGACGCCATTCAATTTTTGTTCTTATTTCCAGAAGTAAGTTGCGCTCAGTATCTTCTTCTGAGGTTTTTGTGTCATTTCCTTCAGTAATTGTCAGTGTAGCACCACCACAGGCGAGGGGGGGGGAACAGGTTGGCTCGATTGACTCAGTTCAGTGTGAACCGCACCAGCTGAAAATGTAAACAAATGTTTCGAATTTTAGTCCCCAATTGAACCGAGTCTACCGGACTATCAGGTGTGACAACGACCTAAGAGTTGAGGTATTAATCCTGTAATCAGCACACAGTTCAAAAGCTTGCCTCTCTAATGGTATGGGGTTGCATTAGTGCCTCTGGCATGGGCAGCTTACACGTCAGAAAAAGCTCCATCAATGCAGAAAAGTAAGTAGGTAAGGTTTTTGGGGGTTTTTTGCATTTCAACATTGATTATGTTTACTATGTTTCACTGAGTTAAATATGGGTTCATGAGATTTGCAAATAATTGCTTTTTCTTTTTATGTACATTTTACACAATGTCCCAACTGTTTTGGGAATTGGGATTGTAAAAACGTAATGAAGTTCCCCAAAATAATCTCAAAGAGCTTCTTCTGCTTGTTGTACGCTGGCTCTGAAACCACTTCAGCAGCCTCCCAACGGCAGCTGTCCTCTGGTGACTTTATTGTTCTGACCACTACTGTCACCTAGTGGTGAAACGGAGGTCGGCACCCTTAGATGCCCTCGGAGGACTCGTAAGAAATAGATAATACCTCTCCATTTCCAAAAAAGTATTGCAATCATTTTAAAAAATCTATGAAGCTTGTGGGGTATATGAGATTCAGAGCGCCGTGCGTCAGTGTTGTTTTATTCATGATACAATTCTGCACTTTTAATAACCTTGACCTTATCACTGACAAGCTGCTCCAATGGAGATTTATTGGGCCTTGTAACTGCGTTGAGAGTTTGCCAGGAGAGGGTTCCCTGAGCTACATTTTTGTTTGTTCTTTTTTTTTTTCCTCCTTGGAGAAATAATTCTGATGCTTCTAAGTCATTCTTTTCAGTTCGTGTTTACCTCAGCAGTTTTAGCTAGATCATGGGACAGCATTGATTTGTACGAGAAGAACGTCTGAAGAAGAGAATTTAATTTTATTCTGGATTTTCCCCAATTCTGCTGAGATGAACCATCATTGCTGTTAGCTTGTGCTAAAAGTACCATGCATCCAGCGTTAAATACCATAATATTACCTTTTTATTTGTATTTTTTAAAGAGTTTTAAGTGTAGGAGACATGCCATCCTCAGCTTCTTTTATCCCCTCCTTTTCTGTCCCGTCTGTATTCCTGTGTGGTTTCCTGTTTGTTGTGCTGATTACGTTGTCTTGTCATTTATCTCGTCTAATCTTTTGTCTCCGACTTTGTCTCTGCACAGCTGTTTCTGTTTCTCTGTTTGTGTTAAGAATCCACGTCATTTGTGATTTTGTTGTATCTGTTTTCAGCCTGCCTGTGTGTAATAAAAATCATGAAACCGTTAGCGTTACTTCCATTTCCCAGCAGTTATACAGAAATTAATCAATAGCGGTTAAAAATAGAATTGCCTACATGTCGACTTTATTTCTAGGTGATGTTAGAGTGACACACACACACATACAGGAGGCAGACTGAGTGTGTGAACTGTCCTCACACAGCTGTGACAGTGAATGCAAGCCTCTTAAGTATAGATAGAAGTCTCCTCGTCTCTACATCCAAATCACCCCTGCAGCTGCAGCAGTGAAGAAACGGAGATCAAACAGCTGCCTAAACAACACACACAAACACACATTGCTATACAAGAAGCACTGAGCACTGGTGCAGTTTGTGCTCAGTAGAATGTGTTAAAGCTAATAGCAAAACGTTTTCTCGCTTCTCCGTCCTCCATTTCCTTAAAATGACAGCAACGTCTAGAACGAGGCTTCAGAGCCCAAACCTACAGCTATTTTTAAAAAATCTAAATACATTTTAAGTTTAAATTCCTTGAAGAAAGGCTTTATGTCTGCTGCCTTTCATGCCCGGGCTTCAGACTAAGATCATGTCATGATGGAGTTAAAGCCATTTTAGACAAACCTCGAACAAACATTGTGTGCACTAACATGCTATCGTGTGACATGTCACATTATCTGTGAGCTCTTAGAGTACCCTATTTTCTGGGGTATAAGTCGCATAAGTAAAAAAAAAAAACAAAACAGCTTAATTTCGCTGGCGCGGCACCATCCATCCATCGCATCCAGAGCCTCTAGCTCTCCAGCGTTCCTCCGCCTGCACCAGCTGAGTGAAGCGAGCGTGCACAGGAGGACTCGCTGTTGCAGTTCTGAGAAATTTAAAGCGTCAGTCATTGCGTTATGAATATGGGGGAAAAAATGTAATTAAGTCGCAAGACTGGCAAATCTTTGCAAAACAACTGCGACTTATATGCCGGAAAATACGGTATCTGTTATGAAGGATTCTCAGCTACTACCACGCCAAAGTTTAGCTCCGTGTCTGTAAAATTCACTGAGCTTTTTTTTTTTTGTGTTGGCTAATGTCACTTAGGTTAAGCTAGTTTAGCCTTCTTTGGATTGATGTCACAAGTTGTAAATGTGAATCCACTCATGACTTTCTTAAAGTTTCATTAATACACATGCACTAGATGTTTAGCTAACAGACATAGAGCAGTGATTTTGAAAGGTAATGCTAAAGTTTTAAACACGGATATGAGATCAAATATTGCACAGAGTATAAATTAGGCATCATTTTCAGCTACTAACACCAAATTTTAGCTCAGTGTCTTTAAAGTTAAGTTAAAGCTGTTTTTGTGTTTGCTAGTTTGTCTTTGCTGTGGCGGCCATCTTGAGTCAAATTGACGCCATACGTTAATCAGCTGTAGATGTTTGTCCATTGTCTCTTTGAATTTGCCTTCGGCATTGGTTGATTAAGAACTATTTGTCATTCTTGAATCCTTTAAAAGAAAATGCTGCGTTTACCGTCCTCAACAAGAAAACGCTTGCTACAGGTTCAGTCTTTGTAAGAACGTTGCTAACATCTGATCCATTTTATGCTCTCCCAGTGAAAAGGCTCTGCTGGTAAACAAATTTGAGCTGAGCATCCGGACCGAGGCGACGCAGGGATTGTTGCTGTGGAGCGGGAAAGGCGTGGAGCGCTCCGACTACATCGCCCTGGCCATCGTGGACGGACACGTCCAAATGACGTACGACTTGGGCTCCAAGCCCGTGGTGCTGCGCTCCTCGGTGCGCGTCGACACCAACCGCTGGATACGCATCAAAGCCAGCAGGTAAGCAGGGAGATGACAGGTCGCCGGGGATCAGCGGTGGAAAGCTTTTACAGTTAAAGAAGGATTAGATTTAATCCATATTGTCTTTGTGCCGCTGCAAACTGTGTGATATCCCGCATGAATCCTCGGCTACGTGGTGATCCAGAGCCCTGAGCTGATGACTCTGATTAGTTTCAGATTAAGGTTATTTTTACGCCCCGTCACGCGCACGTTTGGCGCATTATGAAACACATATTCAGAGTGGTAAAGAAGGAGGCTTAGACATGGAAGTAAATGTTTGAAAAGGAAGAACATGCCGTAACATTACAGTATGTTTGGCCTGTTATGGAAGATGCAGGCAGAATATGAATTCATACGATGAACAGATTTTCAGAATGGAGCATATTTACACGTCGTGCTTGACGCTAGCTGCAAACAGTCATGGGAAAAGCATACAGCTGTCCCTCATTTATCGTGGGGTTTATGGGTCACCCCCACACGATAAGTGAAAAACCGTGAAGTAGGGATAATAGTACAAGTACTTACTACTGCAAAGTAGTAAGTAAATAGTAGTTTATTTTAGTATATATATATATATATATATATATATATATATATATATATATATATATATATATATATATATATATA